TTGTTGATATTATTATGCTGGCATCGTACTCTTCTACTAAGAACTCCTATTTACTGTTTTATTAACGATTTCCTACTATTTGGATATTTTTTTTAGATTTTTGACACTAAAAGCTAGTATTTTCTATGTTTGAGAATTTGCACTGTATTTTAAATTCGCTAATTAAATAAAAAAATTATTATCAAAAATTTTATTGAAATTTTTAGAAACAAATCAAAAAATTTTAATAAAATTCTTTCTAGCCATTCAATTATTTTCAAAACTTTTTCGAAATTCAATTATTTTTACTACTTTTTTCAATTTTAAATCTTTTAGTCTTATTTTTGCTACTTTTTCAAAAGTAATTATAGAATACTTTTTTTACATTCTCATTTGAAATAAAAAATTTTTCTACACTGGGGAAAAGGATACTTTTGAATCAAACACAATTTCTTTGATATGCAGTCAAGAAAAAACTATATTTGAATTAAATATAATAGATTTGATTCAATGCAAAATTTAAATCAGAATTTTTGATTTGATCCACAGTCTTAGGACCAAATTATTACAATTTGTTGGATGAAAATTTTCGGTATGGATTTTTTTTTATGACTATTTATGTTTGTGTTAAACAAATTGTTTCCCCAGTGCATCTACCTAAAGCTTTCAATAACCACTTTTGAAATAAAGAGAGAAATTTATAAAAATAATTTAAAAAAAAAGTATAATTATAGTTTTTTACGATAGCAGTTGCAGTTCAGTAGTTGGACGAAGCCAACGGCGGCTGCTGTCCATCATGAAAGATTCTGTACTGCGTGCGCTTGAAGCGCATTGATTAACCGTTGTCTAGTGGATGCATCACGCCCGGGGGTTACGTTTATGAAAACTTTTTGCAACGATCGACCCTCTTTTTCCGGCGTGAAATTCAGATAGAGGGAAAAGCGAAGCGCATTGCGTAAAATAATACTCGATTGTTTCGGAAGTTACGTGTTGGTTGTACCGGAAACGTACAACAAAAGGAGGAAATCATATCATAGGTTCTTATTTGTTATTGTTTGACTAGAATTTATTTTCTCAAAAAGGAATTTTAAATTAAAAAGTTGAAAGAAAACATGTCGATAAAAGAAATTGATACATATGAAGATATTATGCATCAATAGACAAATAGTTTTATTTGTTTGTATCTTTATTTCTAGTTTGATAATTAAGAAAGAAAGAGGCGCTAAGAATATCGATAAAGTAGTGAGCGGCATTTATTATATCGCGTTGAGAGTCGCTTTCTATTGGTATTAACACCAACTAGGAATCGATCTCTGAGAAATCGCCTGGAAATCGAGGAGATCGATAAAATAGTTTGAAATTTTCGAAAAGCGACATTTGACGTTTTCTTTGTGAGTATTATCAGTGTGAAATTAATGGAAAAAGTGATGGGTAGGTTGATTTTCAGTGCAGCTGGAAAATAAGGTACTTGTACTTTTCATTGGCGTTCGCGACGCGTCTTAGTTCACTCGGAAGACTGAACTTTTAGCGCTCGTAAACGGGCTACCGACGGCTTCAGGGTTTTACGACTCATTTGCATCCGCCTTTAAAGGCTGAGTCCCACAATTAAACCCGTCGAGCGCTGTCGAGCGCAGCTGTACCTTTCCTGGTGTGCGCCTTCTCGCTCGTATATTCAATATCCAAGATATGAGCTCCCTGGAGATCGATCGTGCCAGGATATCTCGCAGAGGATGTCTGTTCGTAAAAGCTTGCAGGAGTAAAGGGCTCTCCAAAACGGAAGTAGCCGTTAAACTAGGTTTCCGTTTCATAAACTCGAGCATATCGCGGCTAACTCCATCTCACCCTCGTAAGACACCACATTTTTCACTTGAAAATGCACTTTCCACTTTTTATCATTCGACACTTGTCTAATCACTTCTTAAGATATCATTCTTTAATCAAAATTCTTTTCTATTCAAACTTTTATCTTCTAGAAAAGCTTCCTCATAAAGGAAAATTTCATCCTTTTGTTTATTAAATTAATACCAAATTGAAAGATTTGAAATTTTTTCTTGATATCCAAACAGAAAAGATTTTATTTCATTGTACGTGTCTGCAGTAATGCTCTCTTATACTAGTATGAGAATTTCACGATAGAATTTTTTTTATAAGGTTTGTTACGTTTTTATTGCGTTTCTGCTTTCGAAGGTTTGAACTTATTTCGTCGTCAGCGGCATTTCGATGTGGAAAATAATTTTCTATCGTTGGCTCGACAGTCAGCCAGGAAGCAAGTTCGACATTTCCTGTTACGGTGAACTTGCCCCGTGCTCGAAGAATGGAAAGGAAAGTCCGCCAAATATAAGGCAAAAATGTCCGTCGAAATTGGATTTCTGAAAGTGCTCCAGTATAGTCGGAGCTGCTCCACCTGATTACCCGTTTCGCTGATGGATTCTTAGACTAACCTCGCACTTGCAACCTCTTCCTCTGCTTTGGTTGCCTTTAGCAACCCTCTTTTCTAGCTCACCCCTTCAGTTCACTCCAACTAACTCCCAGTTTCGTCGCCCACAGTCGCCCACCGATCGGATTTTATAGCCATTTTGTATAAACGCTTTCGTTTACTCCGCAGGTATAAAAGGGTGGCTTCGAGAAACTGGAACCACTGAAAGTTGATACCAAGCCACGCCGGAGGCATCTTCGATCAAGAAGGCACAAAGATGAATTCCTGATAGATATCTTTTTTCTCCTCCTCTTCCTCCTCCTCCTCTACTTCTTAAACTACTTATCTCCGCCTTACTCACTGAAATATCAATTTACAACTCTCTAATTTCATTCTTTACCTTAGTTCGCTTTATTTGAAAATCTCTAAACAAAATATACACCCACTTACCTAATTCGTATCCAATTATAAAATGATAACTTTTTAAAAAAGTCCGTTTGTAACAGGACGGTGAAAATTGGTTCTTTTGTAAATTTTCCCTCCCTGTCACTAGTCTAGGTACTATTACAGAATTCTAGATATTGCATTTTTACATAAGGAATATGACATTTGCCGATTTTTAATTTTCTTTCGTTATGAAGAGTGGATTAAAAAAATTTTCAATATATCGCTTCTCAATATGTCAGTGAACTAAATATTCGTATTACTATTGAAAATAACATCTCCTGAATCACTGCGAGATTGAAGATTTAGTTTTATTTTTTATCATATATATATATATATATTCTCTTTTCCAAATTGTACAAGTTTTCTTTGGAAATATCAATAACAGATACAAACTTTGATAGAATTGGTTTGCTGCGACCAACTGAAAATCTAGAATTACATTGAAAAAAGTTGATAACCACAAATCAAAAAATGAAGATTGTTTTTCGAAAATGTGCAATTCCACGTGAACTGATCCAATCAATAAAATTAAATCGTAAGGGACTTTGTTATTTTCAAATTGATATCATTTATACGAAAATCTAAGGATTTCAATTTTTATTTTTTATATAATGAATTTTTTAAGTATTTTTACTTTACAATGCCAAAAATGTTTTTAAAGAATTTTTTTAACCAGGCTTTTTCAAAAATAAACCTAACCCTCTCTAAATTTAAATTAGTAAAAATGTCTGATAAATTGAAATAGTGACTGACTTTATGCTTTTGAATTAGTACATTTTACTTAATAAAGAGTAATTTATAATAATTTATTAGTTAAATTGACTAATTCAAAAGCAAAAAGTTAGTCACTAACTTATTCTTATTTCTTACTGCCTCTTTTAAATAAAATTAGCAATTTTCAAAATAATAGAATTTAAAAATTTTCTAATTTAAAGTTTTGTTGAAAACACAAAAAAAATTCAATTTTGGAGAAATTACAAATAACAGCAGAAATTCAATTATTTAAAAAAAAAAAAATAAAATTCTTATAAAATTCAACTATGTTCAAAATTTGAAAAAAATTCTCATAAAAATCCCAATTATCTTTATAAATAACAAATTTCTTCTCCAATGATCAATTATTTTCATGAATAAAAAAAAATTGTTGTCCTAATTTCAATTATTTTCAAAAAATTTTCTGATTTCAATAATTTTCAATATTTAAGAGTTTAATAAAATTTCCCAAAAGGAATTCAATTATTAAAAAAAAATTTTAATAAAATTGTATGCAAACATTTAATTATTTTCAAAAATAATAAATTCAATTATTATTTTCATAAAAAATAATTTAAAATTCTAGAAAATAATAATTGAATTAAAATGATGAAAATAATTTTGATGTTATAATATAAAATAATGATTTTATTTCTCGGTCATCTTTAGTTATTAGAAAACATGAAGAAATCGATAACTCCGATTCGAAGTTATCGAAGTTATCGATATCTTCATTTTAGTCTTTTAATGAAAAGAAGTGAAAAAAATTCTAATGATTTCTATTTGTCATTACAATTTTCAAATAATTATTTAAAAAAATTAATTGTAACATAAGAATGTAATATACAATCTATCTAAAGTTAACAAAAAACAAAAGTACAAACAAAAGACAACTTCAGAGTGTGATGGACAGAAAAAGTGAATAAATGAAAAAAAATTCAAATTATTATAGTTAATTTTTACAAATTCAAATTAAGGGAGCACGGAGAGAAAATCTCTCCCTATTTCTTTTCAATTTTTACAAAAACTACCTTTAGTAGTATTTAAATAAATACCAGCAAAAACAAACATTATTCTGCATTTTTTCATTACCTCTTTTAATTTATTATTAAATCACTTTTATTAGAAATCTGAGATTTCTTCCAATAAAATATGTAAAAATGAAAGTGGTACAATAATGTATTGAAAATAAAAAAAATCAACCGAATCAAAACACTTTATTGATTTTCTTAAAGACTCATTATTGTTGTCACATTTTTAAACTTTACATATAATTTATTGGAAAAAACCTCAGGCTTACAATGAAAATAATTAAAAAAGCAGTTTTTGTAAAAATTGTAAAATGTTTAATTTTCTAAACCTTGGGGAACAATTTACCAGAGTTTCAAACCATTCCCAGAAAATAAAATTTTTTCGATTCCTGTCAATTTCCCGAATTAAATTTCACGTGTAATTGCTTAAATACAACATCGACGGTTCAGTAAAGAAATATTGATTTGGGAAAACATTGTTAACCATCAATTTTTTTTGGGTGTATAGTATATTTTTTTGTTAAATATGAGTTTCATTGACAAACTTTTACATTGCAGTCTATTATTACTATATGGCTAAGAATTAAAAATCTATAAATTGTAAATATTTACAAGTGTAAAATATTTTTAGCAGACTTTAATATAAATTTCAAAAGAAAAATCACTCTTTAGATAAAATTAATCATCTGTCTTGGTAAACAATGTTCTAAATTTCAACAAGTTTGGAAAGTATAGGTATCTTTTAATTCCTACTTAAGTATAAAATCTATAAAATATACAAGCGATCTTCTTCTTCTTACTTACAATTAGAAGCTGAGAATATATTCTTCTTAATTTAAAATACCATTCGTTCGTTATGAACCTTATTTCGTATAATACGTAGTTGTGTATTCTTAATAGTAAAATTATTTGATAATATAAAACAGTTAATGCATTTATTTAGAAAAGAACATTTTTCGAAGCTGTTGTAAAAAAGATTACTCTATTTCTTAAAAATAGTTTGTCTGCATTTGATAATTTCGCAAGGTTCCAAATTAGGAATAATATGAAGAATAACAATAATTTTAAACGTGCGAAATTTTTAAGCAAAAGTTACATTACGACAGTGATAATTTTTTTTTCTTTAATTTATTGAATAAATTGTGTTCTGTATTTCTGCATCATTCATTCAATTCTAAATTTTTGTTTTCTGATTTCAGTTTAATTCAATTTTTCCATTTCAATAAATAACACTATTTGGACAAACGTATGGTACATGAGATTTTTATTGCAAAAAAATTTGTTGATCTCTTAGTTTTATATTATTGTAGGAATAAACTTTTGGTTCTATATGAATATCAATTTATCGACGCAAATTTATCATTTTAAATATAGGAAAAAATTTCCATCAACACTTGCACCACTGTCAAATATAATAATTTTGATAACTATCATAATTATTTAGAGCAGTTTCTATAGAGTTTTAACTCTATCAGAAGCTGAGGTTCTAAATAAAATTTATGTTTGCGAAAAACTTGGATAAAATTTGCTTTGACTTTTGTTTCTTTTTCGGGAATTTTTACTTATTCACATATTTCTTTATCTCCCTGAAAGTAAAATCTAGAGCCTTTCATGTATCCACTTTTAAAAAGATCTCTTTATCTGTTAGAAAGGGAATCAGAAATAAGTTAAACCGTTAGATAGTAATTTATGCAAATGCATTTGACTGATCGAGTTGCAGCGTGGGAAAGAAATATTTGAAAAGCAAACATTGAGAAATAATGAGCTCACTCACAATAGGAATAAATTGCAGTTATTACAAGACGCGAACACTTATTAAGTTAGAAGACGACTTTGTCTTTTTTTAATTAACATTATTTTTATTCCCTCGCTATTAATGTATATACTCTAATGTTTGAAATGTGTGTTTTACATGGAATCGTATTATCATCGTCAATTGGTGAAAATGTAATCAAGAAAATTTTAATCTATTTTGTTACTTATTTTGTTTTTATTACTATTAGGTACTATTAGTATATCTAACTTTTGTATTATTAGTTCGCGGGCTTTACAACAAGAAAACTATTTTAGTTTTATGAAAAAGTATTATAGTTTTATTCATTTTTTTTTGTTTTGTTTTGTGTATCTTACTTTGACTTATTTTATTACAACTGAGAGGAGTTTTTGCACACAACTTAAAATCTACATTACAATAGTTGGATGTTTCTTAGAAAATATGAGCATACTATGATAGAAAAAGAAAATGAAAAAGAATCACACAAATGGCATTAAACGTTTAAAAATGGTAATCCTCATTTCACGGTTTTATCTCATCCCTCAGTTCACACGCATCTAAACTTCTGAAATTCCATACGCAATTAATCACCAGCACACTGACCTTTTAATTTTCTATTCTATTATTAAAAACTAATTACAGTTTATTAATTACGTGGGTAATTTTTATCATCTATAGAATAGTTATTCCGAATCTAATACTAGAAATTTGAGTTGTAAAAAGTGTTTGTTGTCCATGGCTATTATTTTCGCTTGACGAAAATATTTTCTAAAAGCTCCTTTGTGATTACGCGATGAGGTCTGGTTGGGCTTTCGGTCGTCCTCTGATAGAGCCTACTGTTAATAGCATAAAGTTTTGGACTGAGCGCACATCTCACGTTGAACCACCAATCGCAGACGAAGACTGCTTGACTAAATTGAGTTCCATTTGGACAGAGGAAAGTTGCTTGCCGTCCGTCTATGTCGCAATAGTGCCAAGCTTGACACCTCGTCTCGACGTCGGCGAAAAATCCAGGATAAGGCTGGTCATCACAGTAGAAGTTTGTATAAGGCACCTTTCCCAAAACCGGGTAGTCGGTTCCTGGCCGACCTAAAAAAACAGCATTCATTAGATTTTCGTTTATAATTAAAAAATTAATTTAGAGTCAAAAAGTAATTTTTTTATCTTGAAAAGTTCAAGTTTTATCAGTTTCGTTTAAAAGTTTAGGAATTTGTTTTGAATGTTCTCATCATCCAAGTAAAGCCGGCGGCTAGCTGCTCGTATCGACGTTCGTCGCCTGCCAAATGCACAAGGCCTTTTCTGTACAAATAAATCTATGTGTGTGTACAACTATCCAGCTTAGATGAGGCATTAGAGCTAAAGTTCTAGCGGAACTTTGAATTAGCGATCGCGTTATCTTGGATGCGAGAATACCTTGCGTAAGTCTGCAGGTAATTACATGTCTCACCTTGCAAAGGGTTAATCAACCTCGATGTTTGCTAAACTGTTTTGCGTACAGACACATGTCGAACTGTGTACGAGCGCTAAGTAAGTGCGAGAGCTAGTGCGAACAAACAGTTCATGACTCAGTGTCGATAATTTAATTGAACTTGATTGAACATTGTACCCTTTTAATCATAGCTCCTACTGTGCATAGAGTTATAACTTTCCAACGTTTATATACTTTATTAAAGAAGCGTGTTTCAAACAACAAATATAATTTTATACACATCAAATTATACATCTTGCTTCTATAATCGAGACTCGAGTTTTCATACCATAAACAGAAAAATTTGTTAGAAAGTTTTTTTTTTTATGAATTTTAAAAATAACTTTAAATTTAACCCTTACTTATCACAGCACTCTTTTCTTGAAAGTTCTTGAAATCGATACTAAACTGGATCAAATTGATACCAAAAATTTAGATCAATTTTTTATTTGATCCACAATTTTGGATCAATTCGTTGCAATTTCATACTTTTCAGTTAACAGTGAGGTACTCATCTATTAAAACCTATTATTTACTACTTTTTTTTCAATTTGTGACACTAAAAAGCTACTTTTTTCTATGTTTGAGAATTTCCACTATACTTTAAATTCACTAATAGTTGGAATAAAAATTTATTCTCAAAAATTTATTAAAACTCTTTCAAACAATTCAATTATTTTCAGAAATAGAATTCTTTGCAAACATTCAACTATTTCCATCAATAATAAAATTTAATTATTTTTAAAAATTTTAATAAATTTTGTTGTAAGAATTCAATTACTTTAATAAATAATAAAACTTGTTGCAGGACTTGAATTATTTTTAATACAAGTTTTAATTAATTCCTTGAAAAATGCAATTATTCTTAAAAATTTTATTAAATTCTTCAACGGAATTCAATTATTTTAAAATGTTAAGATATTTATTGATTAGAATTTAATAAATATTTTCAATACATATTTAATTAATTTGATTTTTTAATAATGTTATTTAAAAATTTAAACAAAAAATGATTGAATTTTGGAAGAATTAGGATTGTAATTTTTATAAATAATATCTAGTTAAATTTCAAAAAGGCCTTACATCAAAATCATTAAACGTGTTTTAATTCCTGTGTACAAATAAATAGGTATTTATATAATTAAAAATATTTTATTATGGAATGTAATTTAATTCAGAAATTGCGAAAATGTGATTATGCTAAGAAAGAAGAAAAAATACGCTTGGTTTAAAGAACCGATGAGAGGTAAAGAAAGGGTTAAAAAAATCGATTAACTCCATAGCATGTAATCGGTGCGGTTTAAATTTGGAGTCCATTAAAGTTTTTGCACACCTCTAAAAATATCTGAAAGTTTTTCTTTTTTTGAAAAAAAAGCTTTTAGAAAAAAATTACGGAAATTAACAATTCGATATTTTAATTGGATTTTTTTTTATCATTCGTTGCAATTATTTGGATTTAATAAAGTTTCTAAAAAAAAATACTATTTCTCAAATTATTTTATATATAGGTGATTTTCTATTTATAATTTAAAAGTTTAATAAATAGATTTTCTCCCTACTTGTCAGACATAAACTAAAAAAGTTGTATATTTAACACTTTATACTTTTTATAATAAAAGCAAGTAAAATTTGTGAAAAATTTTTAATTTAAAAAATCAAGTTATAATTCTAATGGACCATGAATATTTTATCTCTCATGTGCGCGCATGACAGAGTGGCAATATACAGCCTTTGAAGCTAGAATTTCAGAGGAGTTCACTTTTCAGAAATGGTAAAAACATTCATGGTACATTTCAAAATTTAATATTTATGTCTTTTATTAATGTTCAATATTTCCAGGGAAGTAGTGTGGTGAAAAAAAAATGAAATTCATGTTGTAAAAGAAATTTAGCGAAATTGGTAATATGATGAAGATTTAATTCATGTTTTGCTTAAAATATAAAGTATTGAAACTTTTCTAACACGACGGAGCAATGTGAGCAATACTGAGAATGAAATTTGTGCTGCATAATTACGAGGAAACATATAATTTCTTTCAGTGATTTTAATACTTTTTTATAACTAGTTTAATTGATGATGATAATAATAACTGCTGACAGGAAAGGAGAAATATGTTTGATACACCATGAAACTTGTTAGAAGGATTCGAACTCGGTTCGAGAAGAAGCAAGAAGTACCAGGGAATGGGGGATGGTTTGAAAGCAAATTGAGAGATAGAATCATGGGAAACGTGCTCTGATTTACGTACGCCGCTTACTTATTTATTCCACTTGAAGAATTCGCGATCGTAGACTTATACTAACTATTTTCGCGCATGACTATAATGCATCATCTCAGTGCGACTTTTCCATTCAACGCCGTGTACAGTAGAGTACTCTTGGCGAACTTATAATACTTGTTAGTAAAATTGACTTTTTATTTTTCCCGCCATCAATAAGTTGTAATAGAATCATTAGTATTGCAGTGCAACCATAATAAAACAAAGCACTTCCGATACTTTCTTTTGTGTCATTTTTCGAGACTGTTGAATTATATTTTACTAAGTGCAGAGCTTTGCAGAGTCTTAGTCGTCTCGAGAATTATAATGGTAGCATAAGGAAGTGTATCTCGTGACAGCGTACCTGTCTAAACAACTTTGCACCGGTACGATGCTTCGGATGCTTGCAACGTCAGTGTTTGTAGTCTCTCGAATCTCATTGGATGACAAGTATAGTTTCATGCTTTATGCGCTTTGGTATAAGTTATACGACATTGGTAGGTAGGTACCTGCGACACAGTTCAGAACTTGTACGGACAACAGACATCCATACCAAATGTACTACGTGTGCGTCGTGTCCGACCCGTTTTGTCTACCAGGAAGAAGAGAGTTTCTCTTCTCGACCAATGTTAGCCCATAAACTTTGCCGGTCGCGCCAAGTCAGCCGAAAATCTCAGGAAAAACAAAATCTTACTGACATATAAAGCAAGATATGAGCAACTTTCAAAATATCCTTTTTCTCTTCCTCAACTCGACAAATTCCATCTCTATTCTCAAAAGACAAAACTAGTTGACAAAATGTATTTATATAACACACATTATTTAGAGAGCAAGAGGAGAAATCTATGCATACGGGCAGGGTTAATTGCTCGTGACAAATAATGCTTGAGTACTCCAATTTGCCAATTACAATTAGTTACGGTGACCGTCGCGTCGCGCTGGCAAAGCAAACAGATCCATCGACTTTTTTTTTTTCTTCAAGTTGCGTACAAAATTCCGAAACTTATTAGCCAGTCTTATTGTAAGTATTGTAAGTCCATTGTGCTACTCGAAAGACCACTTGATCAACTCTTGAAAGCAATTGTCTTTGGCAGAAAAATACACGCTCTACCAGATAAATCTCATCCCTTAAAACTTTATTTTTTGTACATACGGAGAGCTGCTAAACTGGTACAATAAAATGAGAACAATAAAATGCCTCACTTTTGTTCAGTTTTCAAAGGCATTGTACTGAGAATTCCGTCTCCGAGTTTTCACATTGCATGGCGCGATTGAATTGTTTCCTTATTTTTTCCTCTTGAAGAACCAACAACTTGAGTGTTAATCCCTTTAATTACTCATCTTCTTATAAATTGTTTGCCACAGGCGGTTTCTTTTTATCCACTTTAGCTAATTTTTGTAATTGCGGAAATTTCGTTTGATTGAAAGAAATTTAAAAAAAAACCCCACTTTGTTTACATATTTATGCGAAATATTAAGCTCGATACTATGGAAAGGAATTTACTGATTTTCAAACAATGGATTTACACACGAGCATAAATATGAAGAGAGCACTTACTGTCAATCAATTAATCGAGACTAACTCTCAAGTTGACGCATTATTATTAATGGAAAAAAGTAAATTTAAAAATTTGCAAATCATGAATTGTTTGGAATTTTCAATTTTGAGAGTACTTTGCACTCAAAGTGAGCTTAGTGACAATAAATATTTGTGGGTATTTGTATAATTTTTCGAGAAGGAAAAATGATGACGACAGTAGTTAACCCTTGTGGGGGATGGCGATTACGTGGGTATTTAACGGTGGCTTTTAGGGTGAGGAAGGGAACAAAGGAAAACTTGTGGAGTGAACGGGAGAATAGTGTTGTGTCAGGCTTTGACGGGTGGGTCGCGGAGTATATACATACATACATATAGAGGTAGGTGGTGGTTGCATTGAATCAATATGGAAGCGTAAACTTATCTCATTGATTTAACGGTTCTCAATCTCTGGAAGAGTCGCGCCACTGCAGTGGGAAGCCGTCTCGTGGCATGGCACTCGGATCGGATAATGAAATACCCGTGACCCGGACGACCGAGCCCGGAATCCAGGAGCTCGAAGCTCCGGAGTCTCTCCTTGCGAATAGAGAGAATCATCTGCCTCTCTTTCTCCCTCAACCCCCTGGTATCTCTCTCACCCTTTCTTTTCCAACGCCTCCCCTCTGCACACAAACCTAACCTAGCCTACGCGCTTCCACATCCCACACCGAAGAGAAACAGCAGTTTCATCCCGTGCACTCGGCTGACTTTATGACGATGCAATGGCTGGCTGAGGAACGTAAAACCGACAGAGACGGACGATGCGACGGCGGAGAAAGAGTGAAAGAGCGGATGAGCGGATGGTGTCTCGGGAGCTCCGTCCTTCATTTGCCAAACATCAGCAGGATAGATTCTCAAATGATGTGGGGCGAATCCGGCGCCGCGCCGCGCCACGCCGAGCAGTGCCACTCTCGGCAACTACGGGGTCCGAATTCTGTGGCCTGGATTCGAGCTGATACCAATCTGCTTTAAGGGAAGATTGAAAAACAAGCTATGTATGCTTTGCTTTGCTTTTGTGGATTACCCATTTCCATGTAGTTTGGTAGCCACACTGAAAGAAAAAGTGGAGGGTACAGAAATAATTTGGGTCATAGTCCATACCCCTATAGTATTACCGAAACCTTATGTCAAATTTTACGTTTCCTCATTTTTAAGGGCCCGGCCGGTTTCACCAACACTGATTAAAAGTTAATCAATGATTAAATTAAATCCTTAACCGACCAATCATAAATATACATTAAATTAAATTAAATTCTCCTAATACTACAATTATTGATGACAATGAATACATAATTCATAGAAATAAAATTATGCTTCTATAATGTTATAGAAGCGTATTTAGAATATGCGATAAAAATTCGCATCAAGATCCACTATTTCACATATTATTCAGAGGCTGAAGATATTTTTGCAATCAATGCAAGCTGTGGAGAACTCGTATACGTCGAGTACACATTGCTGGTATTCTAGAGGTAAAGAGGCAACTCGAGGGAGCGAAGGTTGAGTAAATTTGCGGAAAAGCCGAGCAATTAGATTCCCGCGAAAGCACGCAGTGCAGGACGTGCGGGTTTACTGCGCGATTCTCGCATCCCAAGAGGTAGAGAATCGAAAAGGAATTTTGTTCGAAATTTCCAAAGAAAACGTGTCAACTTATTTTATCATATATATCATGTCTCCTTTTTTCTCCTATATATGATTAAGTAATGTCCAAGTTAATCATTTTTTATTTTCCCTTTAAAGGATACAACTTGTTAATTATCTATAAGGTATTCTTAATTATCATTGGGATGTTAGTCGATAATTATAAAATAGCGACGATTTCTCAATATGATTTCGCAGTATTAATGACTTATTTATCAGTAATTTTCATCAATTCCGTTATCATTGACAACCAATCTACACGAATATCAATTTTAATAGCGTGACGCTTCTCCATTGTGAATCACTTCCATTGGCATTGATCCCATCTTGATGTTGTAACAAAAATTGAACAGATATCTACTTCTTTTCCATTGGTTTCCTGATATTCTTTTCCAACCGCACACTTATAACTTTTCCTCAACTTTTGTACAATCGATCAAAGCTCTTTCCGCTCTGAATGATCTTACAAAGAGTTTAACTCTGAAGGCGTGCAAGTAACTTCTGTCTTAGAATATGCTTAAATTTCTTGAGAAAAGTTGAGACTTTTCTCTCAATAATTGAGAAGTCATAGTCTCATAGAGAAAGAAGGCTAACAATAATAGATCTGCTTGAATTAGATTTTCGATATTTTATGCATTTATTTGTAAAGAGGGTTTTTTAATTTTAATAATTTGCGATCTTTAAAAGGTTGGGGGGGGGGGGGTGCATTTTGTTGGAGTAAAGTTAGAGTTAGAATGCTGCTGGAGGGGAATGTGACACTTGCTTCGAGAAATTTCTCAAGAAAAGCTTTGGAATTTTGCTTTACTTCTTTTCCTTGTACTAGCACTTGGTAAGCTGGCGCGCACTTTATCGCTGAGGAGAGGTTCTCACTTGATTCCAAAACCGTATTTCAGGAAAAAGAGGGAGTGAGGTGGAAGGAGGGAGAGAATGAGAAAATGTGGAGAAAATGCAAGGAGGTTGAGGGGACGTTCAAAGGCAAGACTTTGCAGAAGAGATGATCTTGTTTACGTACCGGGTATCGATTTACCGAGATCCAAATACTCTCGTACCGACGGACTCAAGAATCCGGGTGGTACCACTGGCGCCTCATTCGTAGGATTGTTCCTTTGACCTACGTCGTCATCATAGTAATAGTCATCTTCGTCTGGATCCAGAGGTTTCGCCCTCTTGGACACCTTATTACCACTCCGCTCCTCGACTCCGACTGAAAACAAATCAATTTTCAAATTCAAGTAATAATGAAATAACGCAAACAATGAAAAGTTTTTGTCTTCTTTGAAAAGTCTATTGCGCAATAATAATCAGTAATTAAATATTAGTAGAGGAAAAGAGAATACAGTTAATTATCTGAAAGAGAAAAGGCGGATGAAAAATAAATTCATCTTCGTAACGAAGCTCGATGAACGAATCGATTAATTATTTAATCAAGTTTCATCTCTGTCTGCTTAGCTTCGACGTGAATCCGTCCACTTGTTTTAACAAGTCTTTTGCGTTTTCCTTTTGCGTTTGGGATCATGGAAGGCAATGGAAGGTTTTCCGCGAGGTCGATCGCTCCGACCGTACACACCAGCCCGTAAGTTGGGTATAACGAATACCTGCGTAATTAGTTGGTCTTTGATGAGAAAACTCGCTGGTACTCGGAGCTTGATTCGCGCACGGTAAAGAGAGAATGAGTGAGAGAACAAGACGCAGAAACAGATTTAGTCAGTTGCAACGCGAGTGCGAGTGGAACGGCGAAAGAGAAGAGAAAATGAGGAAAATGAGAAGACGATAGAGAGACTATGTAAACTTTGCACAAAGGAACAGATCGTTTTCTGTGCTGTTAAAAGGCGAAGGCCTTTTTAACCTGCTGCGAAAGAAGATTCTTCCTCAACACTCTCGCCTTCTCTGTAAAAGTGAAGACAACGATTTATTCTTTCAACAAGAATTTCACTTGATTTCCGCGAAAAACGAGCTCTCTTCCGTTCTGACGTGACTTTTCTTTGCCAGTTGAACTTTATTTTATGAAGCAAGGCTCACCTTTCAGAAATTAACTAATCTAAACTGAAAACGGATTTCTCTCTGAGACTGAGACGTTCAAAAATAAAGTACATTTCAAGAGAACATGTTCAAAGGTTTTCGTAATATGTATTTCCTTAACTATCTTGTCAAACTCAATGAGATTCATTAATTCAATTTTCCTTCTCGAACAATACATAAAAAAAAATTCTTTTGGAATTCATCGAATCATTTGACGTTCCCCTTTTTTACGTATTCAGGGTTTTCATATATAAATATTCTATTAGCTGAAATGAAAATTACGGTGAACCAACGGTTGTGAACTACACAAAAATTTCCAGGACTTCGGCGTGTAGATATCTCTGATTTTCTCTATCGCGTACGTGTGAAAAGCTGCAGAAGCCGATATAAATATGATTCGCTAATTTGAAATTATTCGCGCGTAACTATGATTATGCACACTTCAATATCAGTTTGCACAAATGTATTAAAACAAACGCTTTTTACCATAAATAATATTCAAAACGAAAACACAATTTCCATAATACTAATATCGAATTCACGAGCATGAAAATTTTAAAAGCTTGAAAATATTTGTTTCTCTTATTCAGAAAATAAATTTCTAAAAAAAAATCAACTGTGAATGATGGAATATAATTATTAAACAAAATCACTAGTGTTTTTTCATTTTTTAATTTTTAATTACGAAGGAATCGAAAATATTTCCGTTGAGATTTAAAAGAATTAAAAAAATCAATGTCTTTATTGATAAAAATATAGGCTTCGTACTTTTACCTACCTTTTCACTATCACAGTTTTTCTGCGGATCTCGGCGGATATCAAATTGAGACAAAAAAAAGTATCAAAACGTTAATTCGCAACTATTTTGATACGTTTTTTGAATGTAATTTAATTAGAAATTATGAAAAAATTAGGTCATCGAATTGAAATTTTCGATAGCTTCATTATACCTCTTTTTGAGTCTCAAACTTCTTTTTGCCACTTTTGTAAAATTAATTATCGAGTACGAAGCCTGAAAAATATATGTATATAGAAAATACAGCAAAGAGAAAAAAAACGAGAATTTTTTTTCTGGTGTAATAATTATGAATTAATCTATCAAAGTAGAATTTAAAATTAATATATATATAAGTTTATGAAGGAAGTTTCATGGTTATTTTTAATTTTCTAAAGATGGGTTAAATTTATTCTTTTTAATTTAGTGGGTTTAAGAAATTCACATTTTTATTTGATTTTTTAAACGCGTTTATGCGCAAAAGAAGGTTGATGCTGTAAGTAAGCGATTGAGGATCATCTTTAAATCTCACTGACAAGCTTGACAAGCTTTCTAAAGCAAAAATGTAAGCGAAAGATTGAAGCACTGAATTTAACTTTGAGCTTACTTTAATCGAACTGCGTATATTTTTTTTTAAATTTAGTTTCACTGAGAAATCTCTATATAATATCATCATGTCTAAAGTTCCCAAGAGGAAGATTCAAACTGAATCTTGGTGGATTTTGAAAAAAAAATACTTATTATTTTTTGATAAAAGGAATTGATTATTGGAATAATGACGATTTTCATACCTCTTGCGGGTGTCGTAGGAAAATTACGCTCTTGAGAAAATGCAACTTATCTACATTAGCGAATATGTCTTGCATGTTAAGTGCTTGAATTTCGCCATGTAAAATGTAATAATAAGGCACACGAGATGCTCCGAAGGTGTTTCGAAAATGACAGTGTCATGCACTCGCCATAGTAATTGATGCGATGCGATGCGTGTGTATCAAAAGACGCCAATGTACGTCAAGTTACACGACCTAGAATAACAAACCTGATGACCAATTACCACTCAACAATCCTTTCTCTACTTCACAATAACTGCATGAATCACCCAGAAAATTCTAAACTATTTTCAATTTCGCAAGCGTAGCACTCTTATTTAACTTTTTTATCATATTAAAATCTTCTGAAAATTATTTTCACTACACACACATACACACACACACACATACACACTTGTGGATTCCCTGATGAATTTTAGTCTACAACAACAAAAAACCAAATTTTCGACTAATGAAACAAAAGATAGTGAACAAAAATAATAAAAAGAAACAAATGCGAATGAATCATTTTATCAGGTATTGAATTTTTTTCATACACACGACTCTAAAAAATTTCAACTTGCAACTAAAAAAACAGAGGTATATTATGAAACAAGAGTACGATAGCGTGCCAATTAGTAAGAGAACTGGTGAAATGGCGAGATTGAGAATTATTTTCCCCATACTGGATGGTGGAAATGAACAAAAGTCGGGAGTAATCAACCTGTAAGTCGACAATCTAGTCTATCTAAATTCGAACTCTAAAGGATATATAGTCGCATGCCTAAAAGTCGGATGAGCTATTTTGTTGACAGAACTAAGGCAGTTCTTGCGCAAACTGTTGAGCACTATTGAGTAATCGCACTCCTTGTACTGGGCGATCTTCGATTCTCAACCTAAATTCTTTCAAGTCTCCGAGAGTACTCCATCAATCAATTACTCTTTTAGTTCTCACATTCAAAATTGAACAAACATCTTAATTTTGAAAAAAAAATTCAATACAAATTTATTTATTCAAAGTTAATGTAACAGTACCTAATAAAAAATAATTGAAGTGCGGATAAAATTACGCATCTGTAATTACCGGGAAAAAGCATTAAACTGGTTCAAGTTCGCCTCTAGACATTCATTTTAAGCCTTCTTACTTATTCAGATACTGTAAATAATTATGTGGTAGCAAAAACTAGCTTAACTCATAGTATGGAAATAATCCTCTACTGCGTCGTCACTAATAAGAGATAATGGGAACCGTAAATTTTCTAATTATCCGCATAAATAAAAATAAATAAAAATAAATAAAGTTATTATACTTTTAAAAAAATGTTAAGACTTGATGATTTGACAAGTTTCGGAAATAAAAAAGAGGATTCTTTCCCTTGCGGTTGCCTGAGGTGGTCTGAGGTTGCCTACTGCGGTGGAAGTAGAGATTAATTATTAAGCCATTTTTATCATCGAAGCTTATGACTATTCGCAATAGAAGCTTATTTTATAGCTGTTTCAACAAAATAATTACCTCTAATCTTTTTTTTCACGTACAAAAGAACTCCAGTTTACCAGATTAAAACTAATTACTCACTCGACCGACTTGCCGTTAAAAACCGGTTAGAAGAAAGCCTTAGTTTTTATGTACTTCCTAACGGCCCAGTTATTGCAGTGCGAACACGAATACTATAAGTCTATAATAAAGAGCCTGGCACTGGCATGTGTAGTTTCATCCTACAACTGACATTGCGAACTAGAATATGTATATTAATTTTCTTCCTTTATCATTCAACAAAATATGTTTCATTGTAAATAGGACAATTTGAGTAATTTAAATATAATTTAGAAAGAGGTGTCAAAATTGGGCTGTCTGAAGCTCACTTGTGAAAGCACAATTTTTCTAAGGATATCAAATTGAGACGAAAAACGAATCAAAAGTGTTGCGATTTTATTTGTATTTAAAAAAGTTGTTGAATTTCAAAAAGGTTTGAATTTGAATCTTTTGAAGAATTTTAATTCCTATGGAAAAATAATAATTAAATATTTAGAAGCTATTGATGGTTTCGAATAATTTCACTTCTGGAGAAATTTGTAAATGCAATAAAACTTTTTTTAAAAAAAGTATTTAATAATTTTTAGAGTGAATCAGAATATTTTTTAGGGTTAGGGAAAAAGTGAAAATTATGTCTGGAAATCAGGGAAAACCAAAATTAAATTTTGAATTTGAGCGCGAGATGGTTAAATTACAATGACTTTAATCGACTACACAATTCTTTACATTTAGCATCGATAGTCACACACTAAAAAAAAAGTTTTACTTTCAGCCTATTTTTGAGGCTGAATTTAAGATGTAAACGGAGTCAGTCCCGTTAAACAAGGACAGACTTATGTGAAATACATGGGCTGAATTTAAGGTGTAAACGGAGTCAGACTTTTTTTTTCCTGTGCATGATACATCACGTGCTCGTGATTTTAATTAAAAGAATTCCGCTTAAAAATGAGAGTTTTAAAAAGAAAAATAAAGTTGAAAAATATTTCCCATTAAAGTTTGCAAAAAAACAGCTTCTTTAAAGATAATATGTTAGGTCAGCTTTGTCCGTTGACGTGTCAATGTTGAGG